CCAGGGCAGGAGAGTCATCGCGATGCTGAACGGGGTGCTCTGGGATCAGAGCATCTCAAAGGCAAACAAGCACCGAATATATGACGCCATCGTGAAAAGTATCGTGCTCTATGGTAGTGAAGTGTGGCCTTTGACGAAAAGAACGCAAGAAATGTTGAGGGCAACTGAAATGGATTTTTGGCGGCGATCTGCCGGCATTTCGAGACGGGACCGTTTCCGTAATGAGAGAATTCGCCAGGTGATGAAGGTTGAGAAAGAAAGATATCGTGCACGACGTCATGTCCAGGCAGTTATGCTGGTATGGACATGTGCAAAGAATGGCGGAGGAGAGATTGCCCAAACAAGTTTTGGATTGGGTACCACCTGGGAAGAGGCGACGGGGACGTCCCGTAAAGGGATGGCGGCAGGGAGTTGACGAAGAGATGTTGCGGTGTCGGTTGCCCGATAACCTCTGGGAAGACAGGCATATGTGGCGTTTGGGTGTCGTAGAACGCCTGAGTGCGTTGTAAAGCGACTTTATATATATATATATATATAAATATGCATAACTTTCCTCAAAAGTACAGATTTAATTGAAGGAAATATGGCAACTCTCGAATGTTCATACGGCGTTTTTCCTTAGCACGGCAGATACTCCGCACCGTTGCAAACCGAGATACTCGGTTCGGGAGTTTCACCGTTGATATAAGCCTTTGGACGTGGCCATATTTCATCTCATGAAACACGAATTCTTTGGGAAACTTACACTTAAATGTTTTCCTTCCAATATTCCATAGAATTTCGTCTACTATGCGGTCTAAAGGATCCGAAAATCTCAAGGAAAAAGACATATCGATGGTCGAGGTGCGGAACAACGTATCTCCGTTCGCGACGTTCCAAACTTTCTATCATACTTTGGTTGTTCTTGAGTAAAATAGTCAATGTGATTTCTTGAAAACTTCCATGATTTAGACTCTCTTCGCTAAATATCCCGCATACATTTCAAGCTACAAATGGGTTTGCTTTCCTCAAAAAGAATAGAATAGGTAGAAGCAACAATTTTGAAAAATCGCAATGGAGGTACGTGGTATTGCACTTCGGTCATCGATATAACTTTTCTCAAAAATAAATATTAAACTGGAGGAAAATTGGCGACTCTTAACTTTTGAATGTATATATTTTTCCTTGGCCCAGCAGTATTGGGCGCGGTTCGGCAAAGGGGAACCAATGGTGGTTCGCTACTTGAAAATGTTAAGGATTTAAATATTTTTTTCATGAACATCGGGGCATTCATGAACGTCAGTCGCCGACGTATTTTCAGGCAAAAATCTGAGATTTTCCTTCATTTTCGCGTGATACCACATACCTACACCGGAGATCGAAAAGTTGCGCGCTTGATTTCCGCAGATAATGATGCGAGCATACCTACATTCATACACGTCAGTAGTTAAAGACAGGAGAAAAGCTAAGATTTTCCTTCATTTTCGCGTGATGCCGCATGACTACTTCGGAGTTCGAATGGTTGCATGCATGGCGTCCGTTTTGACCTGTGTTGATTCTTAACCCTTTGTTGCATGAGCTAATTGTTGATTTTGGAGAGAAAAACTACATAGTACAGTATTTTTCCGACACTAGAGTCGGTTGGGATCGATTTTTATGGTTTTTTTTCTAAGCAAGGAGATTAGACATATAATGCTCCCCAAAAATTATTTCTTGCTTTGATTCAATTTAATACTCCAGCATAGAAATAAAGCTGAAAACCATTTGTTGCTTTCATGCAACGCTATGCATTAAAGGGTTAAAACATTTTTATGCAAATTTTGATGAAAATTCAGAAGACACGCAAGTTTTCCAGTGGTTTTGTATAAAATAAAAAAATTATACGCCATTTTCAACTGAATACTGCGCAAAGTACGCGATTTTTCCAGCTGTTATTTATTTTTGCGGTTTATCTACGGTGAGAATTACCCTTTTGGTAGAGATATTTGTAGTAGGTAATGTAGTATTGAAAATGAGCGGGTGGCCAAAAGTATTTGTGAGCTAAGAAACGATGATGCACAATTTTCATCATTTACATAGGAAGGATGGAAAAATCACAATTTTTTACTGAAAAGACCCTCAGATATTAATCCTGCACTTACTACACTTATCCTTCAACTAACATCTAGCCACAGCCTGCACTGCAGTAATGAGGAGTTGAATCCTGCACTTTCAGCCACTAACAGTTCCCGAAAAAAAAAAAGGGGGGGGGGGGCTGGTTTTGCACAGCACATAGTTGAATCTTACCATCAAGTATCATAGTATTTGGTATCTCTTGACTCAGTTCTGCTTTCCTCTAGTTCTCAGTTTTTTCCTCTGATTAGAGTCCCTTTATACCCAGAGTTACGACAACTCACTTTTGGTTGGGCCAGGATTGGGCTGAAAGTGGCCTAAAAAAAAATCCAATTCTGATTGGTTCTCGCTCATGGAGGCCGAAACTAGTGCACCAAGATGGCGGTACCTCGTATGTGAACAAGAATAATGAAAATATTACCTAATTGTGGTTTATCAAGAGTAAATTGTTATTGCCATCGGTCCAAAATGAAAATAGATTAAGAAATTATTCACAAACCAATCTCATTTTCTTTTTAATTGATCAATTTGTTGATGTTGTTGTTTCTGTGTGACAGACATCGCAGGATTCCTGATCCTTATCCCCCAATATCGTTCGTTTGAGTGCACTAGTTTCGGCCTCCATGGCCAGCCAAGGTCGGCTGCCAGTCAGCTGATAATCGAGTTGTCGTTACTCTGGGTATAAAGGGACTCTACCTCTGATAAGCTTTTTTGCAAAAAATGCTTCATCCCCACAGCAACAATAATTGAGGAAATTATGAATCATGTAATCCTAATAACAATTTCCAAATCAACAATCCAAATAAAATTTTTTTAGTACTTGGCTGTTCTTCTTCATCACAGGTGAACGCCAGGACCAACCAAGGTGGAGTTCTCGGCAACTAAAGTTTACGCGTGTTTAAACGGCAACAGAAGATCCATCATCTTTTTTCTTATTTTTATTTACTTTCCATGCAAAAATGATGACAGACAATCTTCTGTTTCAGTCCAGAAGTGCATAGACTTAGTCAGCACAGACTCTACCTAGGACAAATATCTGGGGTCTCTGGCTCTTCAAAGGCTAAATAATGAGAGGGAAAAAAAAAGAGAAAAAAAAGAAACAAAACAAAATAATTTTTACTGCCTCATTATGATGTTTTTTTTTTTTGTTTTGTTTGTTTGTTTTTTTACACTTAAAGTATAATCCTGCGCTCTACCATACATAAAGCCCCATCCCCCTCCGTCCCTAATCAAGCCAGCCTCAGGTAACCGTGGACCGTGGTAAAGTGGACTCATAAAGATCTCAGATCAAAATTACTTTTGCCTTGCAAGGTCTGAAAATAAATTATGATGGTTTATTTTGGTTCTAAAATTTACTGACTCCTAATTTTCTTTTCAACTTTATAAAAAAGTAATTTCTCATACATGAAGAGTATGATTATTCTGGAAAGGTTAGACTGGATTTGAGCCAGGAAATCCAACTTCTTTTACTTGTATCCTAGACAAATTATTGGTTCTTTATTCTTTTCCACAAACTGGTATTTTCTTTTTTTAATAAAAATAAAGGATTTAATTACTTGGAGGACTTTTTTTTTGAATAGTTGATCATTTTGAAAACACATGTCAAAGAATATTCTTAACCGAATCCCTCTTGTTCTGTCTCTCTCTCTCCCATTGCGGCAATGGGAATTACTTTCCGCCGTAGTTACGACTTCATTTTTGGGAATTTTGGGAAGATTTTTTTACTGAGTGTTCCTCAAGTATGTTGCTGTATCCCCTGGATCCCCAATCTTGAATAAGTATTACGGTTTTTATTATTTGGCAAATATATACGGCTATTCTAAGCAGCGCGATGTGGTGGCCAAATCGAGAAGTTCCAAGCCTGGATTCACCTTAAGGCAAACATTGAAAACTAGGGCTCATTTATCTGCCCAATTTCAGAGTTTAAATTAAATTTGTGCAACGCGCTTTCTACTCCTGTGACTCTAAATACATTTTTCTAGAAGCCTCAAAAAATTCAACTTGACTCTCCTACCTATGATACCTTTCTATTAATTGATTCTTTAGACAGTGCTAGAATTACGGAAGGACCTTGTGGCAGTTAGAGCACTTATTTCATAAGTGTCATGGAAAATAATTGTAACTATAAAATTCAAAATTCAGTGTGTGGTAAAACTGTGAATTAACAGCGATTCAAGCAACGAAATACTTGTTTTTATACCCTGATAAAATGAAAAGCGCATTAGAAATGATCACCGTATAGAATGAGATGGAAAGGTTCAGGGATAACACGAAAGCCTGAAAATAAGTATCTAATATCCCAAAATGAAAAAATCCATTGCGCATCACGACTAAGTAAGCACCTACTTAAGGCCAGACTCGACGCCACAGATATTCTCCTTGAGGATGATAATCTTACGACAGGATATGATATCAAATAACATTTCATCATCCGAGTTCATGTCGCTTCAGAAACATTCCCACTCATTAATCAGGGACTGTTTTTCATTTTTACGGCACATAGGAACTCTGAATGGTGTTACAAAACTGATGGCGTCAAAGGATGTCAGAATCGCCATCCAGCAATGCACTCCGAGCATGTTGCACTAAATTAGGTAGCATTTCCTCAAGCATGAAAATGGACCCAACGATGCATTGTCGTCCGAAGGAGACGCAATTTCGACAGACTTAAAACCTCACATTTGTGTCCATGTTTCATATACAGTACGGGCACTGATAAGAACACAAGGGTGTGATTCTATGAGACGAGAACAGTCACGGATTTGATTTAATGGTGTTTAATGTAGGAGCAGACCATTAATATTGGCAAATATCATCGCAACAATAGTGGCTGGATCTGGGGAGAAGGGGCCAACCTGTTGCCAAAACACAATTATAACGACAGTTAGAGTACTTGAACTGGTACTTACACGACCATTCCATAAGCACCTTCTCCAATGTAAGCCAAATTTGTGTATCTTGGTCCAACTTCGAATATTTGACCCCGAACACTTTCACTATTCCGCGCATTAGATTCCGAGCCCTCGGCCGCCATTTTCACGACTGATAACTTCGCTCGACTCAAAACAATAAAACAAGGGATAAAAGGGGGACGGGAACTCAACGGGATTCGATAGAGTACCTATACTGAGAGAGTATGGCCACTGGTGTTGCCACCTCTGATTGGCTTAGCCATCTTAGGCTTAGGCTGAATGGAGCCTTTAGGACCCAAAAATGGCGGACGCCATAAAATAATGTAATGCAAAATGACTCAAAATGTAGTTTTCTTTGCTTATCGTAACGAAAAATTAACCCAAATGCACTATTGCGACTTCTTCACGTATTTTTAAGGCTAATCGTGTGCAATTTTTGAGAAAAATTATCTTGGTTGTGGTAAGGTTGGCAGCAAGTGCGGTCGGTGATAACCGTCAAAAGTTGGCAATGACCCTCCTATTGCCCTCCTCCCATACTCAAAAACCAAAACAAAGCACCGCCATTTTTGGGTCCCACGCCATTGGTGAGCAAGGGCAATTTTTAGCGCCTTTTTCAAAATAAGGAGAGCGCATTCTGANNTTCTGAGGGGGGGGGGGGGTTAGGAGAGTATTGAGCCGAAAAGTGGTCAAAAGTAATGTTTCCAGCAACAAAAATTGATTTTTGACGGCACCACTAGATTCAGTGCACATTGAAGCTTTGATGTAGTTTTTCAAATTTAATTGTATTTTTCGATAAATTGCAAAAATGTTCTTAGACTCCTTCATCTATTCATTTGGGTAGAGCTTTCACCAGGTATTGATTTATTAAAGCTAATGAGCTGTTAGGCAAGGTTTGACCTAGAAAAACCTTCAATGCTTCCTCTTCAAAAGCTTTGGAGAAAATGATTCTCGCATTGAAAAGTTCAGATATAAAGTTCTGAGCAAGATGTTATAAAATGTATCTTTAAGGGAGATCAAACGGAAGTTACCCCCAGACCGCTGCACGGAAAGAAATTAAATGTTGATTTAGCATTTATACTGTTAAAAAGATGTCCGACAAGTTTCAAATGCTGATTTTACATTTTAACAAATGCTGATGTAACTACGCCCACTGCAAAACATACAAATTAAAATGTTATGTTAGCATTTTCGTATTGTAAAATCAGCATTTGAAACTTGTCGGACATCTTTTTTACAGTATAAATGCTAAATCAACATTTAATTTTTTTCCGTGTGCAGGGGGCACAACCCTTTAGGAAAGAATAGTCTTGCATCTCCGGATTGCAATTAACGTGTAAAATGCAATGGCATTATTTTGTTAAAACGTACGAACCGAAAGAGTCGAAAACAAACGAAACTAACGGAAAAAACCGAGGTAACAAACTGTGAGCTAATTAAATGAGAAAACAGAGAAGAATCGGAAAATTAAAAAACTCAAACTCACAAAATAAAAGGAAGTTTATTTTGTGAGTTTGAGTTTTTTAATTTTCCGATTCTTCTCTGTTTTCTCATTATTTTGTTGTTTATTTTAGGTGAGAGTTATGATGAGAAAGAGAGCTTCAAATAAAAAAATATAGCCTTTTTATTTGCCTTTTTTTACTTAAACAATTAGTAACAAATTCTACTATTGTAAGTAGGTAGCTGTTTTTACATGAAATAGACTTTGAAGACAACAAATATTAAAACCAATCAGGGAAGTCATTAATTCCTTCGATCTGATCACTGACAAAAAAACTTCTGAAACATGATTACGAAAAACTGAAACAGCAGCTGTGTGTAAGGCTTATTCTGCCGTGCTGAGAGAAAACGACATGAACATTTGAGAGTTGACAAATATCCTCCAATAAACTGAGTACATATTTGATAGAAGAGTTTTGAACATTTCCTCTTACAATTTTCAGATAATTCAGACCTGATTGCGAATAGAAATCTCGGAAAAATTGAAGAAAATATATTCACATATTTCCCTGAAAATTCGTATTTTATCAAAGGAGAATTGGCAATGTCAGAAGCCTCATATGACGTCCTTCCTTAGCATGGCTGTAATTGGTTGAAAATTCACTCATAATACTGAACTAAAAAAGTTGAGGCTTCCTGATTCTTGTGATTGACAAGTGACAGTTGAAAACTAATAAATTCTGACGAAAACCATACGCATAAAATCAACTCTACAAAAAAATTGATTACCTCAGAGAAGACCCCATTGAATTTCGAGACATTAACTTAAGTATCCGATGAAAATAAGTTGAAATGAGGGAAAAGGTGTGTGATCTTCGTCCGATCTATCTTTATCAAATATTTTGGGGATGATAACATTAAATTTTGATAAGACCGCTCTGAGTCATTCAGTTTTTTGCAAAGTTGATTTGACCCTTTAGCTTCAGTCAAATTTTATATTCAAAACATTTTGATAAATAGGTATGATTTAAACCACATGATCTTATTGCTGCATTGTTTAAATACGAGAAAATTACTATAAAACCTTCAACCAACCATATTTTGCATAGTTTCTAGAGTGATTTTCATGGAGCAAGATAACTTTTAGTTGTTTTGGGGCAGCCTTCTCACAACCATAAGTACAGCAATGGTGTTTAAGCATTTTCACGGACAAAAAATATAAAAAAGATCTTCTTTGGAAGTCTATTTGTAAACTACGTCATTACAGGAAATGAATAAAAGAGGAATAATAAAGATAAAATCTGCATGAGCAGAATGATAAAAAAAAGGCCCTCGGGGGGAGACAGAAAAAAGGCTTTTACACTCCAAAATCATTTGGTAATAGACAAGACAAGTATTATAAATACTCTGCCCTACAGGTACTTCAATTAAAATCAAATAATTATAATAAAATCTACCAACTAGTTTGACACAAAAATTTATGATAAGAGCAATATCCATTCAATGAACACCTGAAAATCTGAGATGCAAATTATGAATTGCTCCAGTACTCCAGTGCATAAAGCCAGATTCAAAGGAGGTGCGCTCTCCATAAATTAAGAAAAATAAATTGGTACATTCAAGATAATTTTGGAATTATTGTTCTTATCCTTGTAAAATGAGTCTTAAATTAATCAAAGTCAATTTTTTTTGTTGGTTTTTGATTAAAGAGCCTTTCAATGTTCAAGGATTGTTGAAAGTTGAAACACTAAAAATTACCAGTAAAACAAAAGGCATGATTTATTTTTCAGAGATGCAACAGAGTGCGTGAGAGTATGACATTCTTGATTTGATCAAATAAATAAAAAGAGAATTTTTGTCTAAAAATGATTCATAATGTGGTGAAGGGGTTTAACGATTTGTAACCAAAAAGAGTCTCTAGGAAAACCCCAAAAAAGGTGTCATAGACAAGGAAAAAACACATCATTGCGAGATCAAAATGGCACACTTGGCCAAAAATGGCTGTTAAATACGGATCAAAAAGCTCAAAAATTAGAAAGATATTCAGATATTAATGCATGAGTAATGGCAAGAAGAGATTTAAACAAAAAGGTTAAATTTTAAACAATAAACACAAAATCTCGACTGTAACATGATGTTTAACAGGCATCTGAATGTTTTTTTTTTTTCATTTCATAACTTTATCTGGCAAATAAAACAAAGTAAAACACATTACATTTTTGTGTTTTATCTACTTCACAGGGATAAAAATTCAATCCCAGAAGATACGTTTCAAGTGAAAAACTAAAGAAATCCTGTCGCCGGTATGAAAGTTTACCAAAAATAGTGACAACTGTTTAATGCACACAGGTATATAATCCATCGGTATCAATAAATATGGGTCAAGCTGATTTGTTAGTTGCAGCTCCTTTAGAGAGAATTTAATTTTCAAAACAAACAGCAAAAAAGCCTGAAAGACCCTAAGAGTTAAAACAAAATCAACAATATTAACAAGAATAAAAAACAAAATTAAAACTAAAAATCAACAAATAGGCCGCTACATGAGAGAGCTCAAGGAAAGACATTTAAAAGTACATTTTCAAACTTTTGCTGCCCTTTTTAAATTGCTAAATTCTTTAAAGTAGTCCCAAAAGAAACTCATGAAGTTGGACAGAGAAACCTTCCAAAATAATTTGATTCATGAGAGAGGCATTAGGGAAAATTATAAAAAAAAATAAATAAAGAAAAAGAAATAAAGACAAGGAAAGTAGAAGATGTCGGTGGGAGGCTTAGTAAGTTTCATCCTTATCACAATCTTCAGTATCATGGCCAAACACTGAAAACAGAAAAACGAAATTGAATTACCTTAAAAATATTTATCGAGGAGACTGAAAAAATTTAGGCAAAAACAATCGACAGATCAAGAGGAAAAATCAACACGATCAAAATGGAGACAAATAGTCAAACAACTAGAAGTGGCAGGGAGGCCATTTTGTCATCAGCCGTTACCAATTACAAATACTTGAAGCAAAATGATTGGCATTAAAACTAAATTTAAAAAAATTCAATTCTGGCTGATGCACAGCAATGCTGCCTAGGTAAATGTTTATTATAACTTCCAAGTAATTTTTAAGAGAAGAAGTAACATCACCTAGTCATCAATGGTCGATCATGGATGATTACATGGCCATATCAATGAGTGCCAAAATACAATTAAGAAATTTTAAGAGGGATCAATACAAAACCTGGGTTTTTCAGTATTGTAGCCAGAAAGAAAGTTTTTTATGGTCAGGATTAACTTGATCATGTCTTTTTGATAATTTTCAATCGCTAATCTTTGGTGACCAGAAAACTTAGATGATTGAAAAGATTTTATACGAGCTAAGATAAGTTTCATTTCTAGTTTTTCAATTTCTATCTGATCCACTTTCTGACATCACTAGAGTGAATTTAAAAATTGTGGGCAAAAAAATATGGACGAAAATGCGCTTACTGAGAGGTATTCAAGGAAAATTCCATTAAAAATTGCAAGAACCAATATAATGGGCCAGTAGACAAGGTCTGAACTAGAGGCAAACATTATATATTGTCTCTTCGAAATCTTACAAAGAAGACAATTCACACAAAAGGAAGTTCAATATTCCATCTCTGAGCGTGATATTGACGTGTATATTTTTGACACAAATGAAAATGGAGGTTACATTGATAAAATAACGTCATTTATATTTTTGCCACATGACCAGTAATAATTGCAAACGCTTATATCTTGTCTAGGAGATGAATTCTAGACCTCTTGTTGTGTGATTAGTTTTCCTTGTGAAATTCTGAGGAGGAAACAAGATACGTTATCAGTGGCAAGGCAAGAATGATTGATTACCCATATTTCTCCAATTGAAGCTATGGGAAGGAATCGATTATTAAGGTGTTTGTTGCGAACACCCTGTTTATTGAACCTTTTTCAAAGGTTTGAATGGCAGATCAATCGATACATTAAAAAGGACGCCACATAAAGCCTGTAAAGCTTGAGCTTATACTTTGTCTAGTAACCCATTATCAGTGTAGATCTGCTAGGCTCTGTAGTAATGAATGATTTTATGCAGGAGGAGAAGTGATTGGAAAAATTTGTCCTTACCTTCACAATTTTCACAATATGGGCGGGGCTCAGGTTTAACGCCCGTTTTAGTTCTTCTTTCTGGCGGTGGAGACTCAGATGCTTGTTGTGGACAATCTTCCGTTTCATGGAGATCAAATTCATCGCAAATATCACAGAATAAGCGAGGAGCTGGGATTTTCTTTTCCTTGACGGGATTGAATGCTGTGTTGGGATCCAGATAAAGTTGTTCCAGCTGATTGTTAAGAGAGTCAAGTTTCTTTTGCTGGTCAGCTATGATGGAATTCAAGAAATTAACCTGGCTGTCGGCTAATTCTTTCTCTTCTAGTAACTGCTTGAAGGCAGGATCTGTGCAAACACAAAGCGACTTTAATAGCAAGATTTCCCTTATTGAGAATTTTCTTGGCAAGAAGGCTGACTCACAGTTGAGATCACAGTTTAGAGAAAAACGCATTTAATGTATTGAATAGCGTGTACTTTCTGCTACAGTTGAATTGCTGCCCCATCCATAAGGTTATTTTGGCACGCTAATATGACATGTATAAGGTACATACAAGGTGTCTACAGACTTTTCAGAAAAGCATTTCCTGACTTTTCCAGGATTTCTCAGAACAAAATCATCAAAGTTCCCTGACTCAATTCATCAACAAAATGCATACCTACGTAAAACTGCAAAAAATATTTTGGCATTAATTTCACTGCAAATTACAAAAACATATGAACCCTCTTGTTCAGGTATTTATCATTCAATTAACTAAAATTACAACTGTTCATCATTGTAAAATATTCGTCTGGATTTACTATTCAAAAATGAAAAAATAGTGCTCAGAATGTACTCAAAGCAATGAGCCCCAAACCAAACTGAGGCAAAGTTTGATATCTTGTGCAGCGCTAATGGTTGTCTTTCCAGAGTTGAAGTTTCAAGATATTTCAAATTTTCAGTCTTTTCCATAAAATATCCTGAAAGTGGTGATAAAAAATGTGATAAAGTAAGCTACCTCCGCTTTTAGCATCAATTAGAGATTGAGTTGCCGATGCTTGCGCAGAACCAAGTTTGATCAAAAGTTCATCTCTCTCAAACTTCAGAGCGTTTAATTCAGATTGAACCTGTGCTGCATCAACCATGGCTCTCCTTAATGTGTCCAGTTCTGATATCATCGATGACATTTCCTCATTCTTAGTATTTAGTGTATGGCTCATTTCAATTATCTGCTTCTTGCTTGCTTCACTCTCCTTCTCTCTGAAATCAGAAAAAAGAAAATAATGCTGAGGTAATGTTCTATTCAGTATTTTTGTGAATACAAATCTTCAAAAGCACTGAACATGAACATTTTCAAAAAATTTCAAAACTTAAAAGGTGACATGGAGAAAAAAGCACACGTTAATCAAAATCTTTCCCACCAGTAAAAGGGGATTTACATTTACTGAGATTGTTTTACTGTTATTCGTTCCACTATACTGACAGCTAAATCTTCATTTCTTAGTGCCATACTGATGAAAGATTTTTTATTCTTCAATACCTATTGAACTTAAACAAATTACATCATGGTCTTTTGTCACAATGACAAATTTAAATTTAATATTGTGGAAAAAAATAAACTATTCCTTTAGGATAAAAAAGTGAGCAAAATTATTTGTTCAAAATTTGTCTCCTTATCCGGCCAGTAACAAGGTTATTTGGCTTAGTGGACTCTCTATTTCATGTTGAGTCTATCTCACTTCATGGTGTTGAGTTCATTCGCAACGGACCTGTTGAAGGGACAGAGCTGTCTACTGATATACTGAAAGCCTTAACTTTCCCTGTGATTGACCTTAAATTTAAGTTAAAGAGTCTAAAACTGGCACGAGAAAATCTCAATGACATCATACGAATAAGAATACTGAAAGGGAATACTTTCAGAGATTACAAATTTGTCATGAATAAAAGAATTTCTAGATCAAAGAGTGGATTTTTACTGATGAAAATGATTTAAGTAAAATTTTTCAAGTTATGATTTTGCTGCTGTCATGGTGCAGACGATTAACAACTAAGCTACTTCTGGCGAATAATTACTAGCCATCAGCTAGTAGTACCAACGAATCGCTTTGTTTTAGTTATGGTAGCTCCTGTGTTGCAGAGGTGGGTGCATACTCTTCAATTATAAGATTGGGAGCGAGAGCAGGAGGGGGAAGAGAGAGCGGGTTTTGAAGCAACGAAATAAAAAAACAAAAATCAGTGAGAAAACATGATGAAAGAAACCTATGCCCCCTTTCCTTTTTTTCCGGAAATGTAGTATCTCTTATTCCACGGAGATGTTTGATGATAAAAAATATTTATTTTCAAAGAAACAGGTCAACTTTTAACCTACACACAGTCAACGTTACTGATGCATTAGTTGTTGGGGAGCAATTGAAAATTTTCAAGCGACACAAAGACACAACACTAGGGTTTAAAACAGTCAATCATTGTACGCAGGGATGCCCTGGAACTGAAAGAGTGACCGTGAATATTAGCCCATTAGTGCTTGGACTGACCTCATTTACTTATTTTTTGGATATGCAAATAGGTTTCTCCCACGAAAACAGGTCCAAAATCACCCTGAATAATGGCGAGCTCAGCAGAATGTTTTCTTGTGTTCCCGCTGGCCCGTGCTGATTTCACGAGCTTCGTCAAAAGCTTTCTCTCATTTTGGGCAGCAAAGAATGAGGATTGAATGAAATGCACAGCAAATGGAAGACTATTATGACAAAAGGATTTGAGAAAAATTATTGCTTGAATACATGAATATTCCCCTCAGAGGATGTTAAATTATTTGACTAAATTTTTTCAGCGTTTATCTCAATCCATAATTATATTTCGACTCTCCCCAGTCTTGTAAATATTTTTAGGGTAAATTTTGTAAATATTTTTACAAAATTTTCTTGATTGATAAGGATGGATTATTTACTAAATGTTTGTTATGATCTTAAGAGCTATTTGGGCAAAAATGCTATGACTATTAAGCATATTTACAATAGCACCTAAGTTTCATGAGAAAGCTGGTTCTTACTACCTACGAGTAGATGGGTTAAACTGAGGCACTAAGAGGCACAGAAATTACAGAATGCAGACTCAAGAAGGCAAACATTTTAAAGAACTGGAAACTGTTGAGAAAAAACCAAACTGTAATGAATGGATCATATAAAAAACGTGAAAAATATTAGATACTTTACAAGGTCCATGTAGCACCTGGCAAAAATGAACGAGTCGAGAGAATTACGCGATTTTTGAAAGCTGATGTGGAAGTAAATAGTACATCTGCTATTAAAGAAAAGCAGTATCAGACGCTATAAATTCCTCCATTATTCCGTCACCATGAAACAAATTAAATTATACCACCCAAGCGAACTTTGAGTTCTTTTCATCATGTGAAAACGAGGGTCAAAACAAGAAGTCAAACAGGTCTGACAACCATTGATATCACTTCAATTAACAGAGTTGCAAAATGAAGTAAAAGTTTTCTTGCTCCCTACTCCGCATGCTGTTGCTGTGTATTTTGGCCTCTAATGTTTTCACTATAAGAAAGAATTAGAAGTAACCCTTTTTCTAGCAAATTTAGGAGCTAAAATCCTGAGTTTGACTCCTTGCGCCCCGTTAGTTTCCTCAAGAAAGGGAAGACAAAAAACAAAATCAATTGCAGATATGTATGTAACAGTGAGATATGTAGTTTCTATTTGTTACCTCTTGAATTACACTAAATGGAAAGTTTTTGAAAGATGCTTTTGTTTATTGGCTGAAATCTGAGTCCTGTCCTGGTGAAAAACTCTTTGTTAACTGATGGACAGAGTCAACCCGAGCTAACAATTCTTGATGCTTGATAGCATCTTCTTTCATTCGCCTTTCCAGTTCCCGAGTTAAATCATTTTCAACCTTTCTGTAGCCATGTAAAAATTACAGTTAAAGTTACTAATTTTGTACGATTTTAAGTGCTTCTTTGTAATAAAACTGTGGCAAGAAAATATAATAATAAAAAAGAAAACTTAAAATAACACAAAAGAAGAAAATATGAAATTTTACATTAATAACGGATTACAACAAAAAATGCTCCTAATATTTGAAACATCTTATGGTCAGGTGAATATATTGATAAAGATGCAAGACAATGCTACGAGTAAAAAGAAAACTTGGAGGGGCAGTTTTTTTTACTTGATTAAAATCAGTTTATGCTGAAAAATTAAACTTTGAATGAAATCAGTTTTATGAGAGGGATTTTGAAAGAGGTGCATTTATGAAGGGTAGCTGCCGGACATAACTTATTCTTTTTGTTAGCTCTGCATAAAATGGGATTCTAAAGATCAATTAAGGAGCAAATTTTGCACATGATGTATGCATTACAAAAAGTATGCACTTGATTTTAAATAATTCAGTCATGAGCTAAATTTCTAATGGGAAGTTTCTTAATGGTCCAAAAAATGATAGAATAGTAAATAAATTGAGAAACAGAACTTACAGTGTAGATTTCAATTCCGCCAGAGCTTTCTGTTCTTTTTCGTTAATTTTTAGCTTTTCTTCAAGACTAGCTCTTTCTTTCTCGAACCTTGTCTTCAAATCCTCATATTTGGTGATGAGAGAGCTTAGATTAGAGTTGACATTTTCTTTTTCCGTTTTTAACTCTGCAATGATTTTTTCTTTTTCAAATAAGGCACTGTCTTTGTTTTCAGAATTGGTTGATATGTTTTGCTTCAAGTTGCTTATTTCTTCCGTCAAAGAAGTAAGAGACAAATTTTTAGCTGCTAACTCAGCGGACAAAATGTTGTTTGATTTTTGTAAAGATTCTACTTCGGCATTGAAAGATTTAAGACTAGCCGTTTTTTCTTGCTGCAAATCCGAAATAATATTATTTTTCTCACAAATAATCTTGTCTTTATCTGAACTATTTTGGGCAATACTTTGTCTCAGAGAGTTCAACTCTTCAGTCAGAGTTTTTATCTTGTTTGTCTTCTCAGACAGCTCATCGTTGAGAGAGTGATTTTTAGATTGCAGAAGTTCAAGCTCTGAACTAATTATTTGAATCTGACTACTCTTTTCAGCTAATTGTTTTGTAAGTTCTTCTGACTCTTTCTGCTGATTTTCAATTTTAACTTTGAGCAGGGTTTCCTTTTCAGCCGTTTTGTGGGAGATACTTTCAATCTCAGCGTATAAAGATTTCAATTTTTCATCTTTTTCTTCGAGTATTTGACTAATGCGATTTTTTTCGACGTTCAAAGTCTCGATTTCTTTGTTCAAATCATTCTCTTTGTCTACCCTGTCTCTCTGAAGATTTTCAATTTTTGTACGTAAATCTTGAAGTTGATTTTCTTTGGCCTTCATGTCTTCATTGATTTTATTACTTTCAGACTTCAGACTCTCAATTTCTTTTACTAAAGAAACCTCTTTTTCAGCAAACTGTGATTGAGTTTTCTCTAAATCAGCAAGGTTCCTGATTTTTTCCTCGGCAGTTAGGACGGAAGATTCTTTTTCTGCTTTGAGGCATTGTATTTCTTTCTCCTGTTTCTCCAACAACTCAATTTTTTCTGTTACAGCAGTCTGCAAATTTTTAGCAAGATTTTTGGTATCTTGTAACTCTCTGTTCAGCATTTCAATCTTTTCTTTCTTCTTACTGACTTTAGTTTTCAAATCCTGTATCCTGGCCTCTGCTGTCTCATAGTCTACTTTTAACTCATCTATTTGAATATTTGCTGAGGTTAGGAGAGTATCTTTTTTGGATAAAGATTGAGTAAGTTCTTCCACTTTCTTTTTGAACTTTTCCTCCATAAGGTTAGCAGACTGTCGGAACATTTCAAATTGGTGTTCGCATCTTTTTATGCTATTTTCTTTTTCAGCTAGTTGCGCCTCAAGGTCAGAATCAGTTTTAGCTTTCACATCACTGATTTCCTTTAGATCCTTTTCCATCTGCTGCTTTTCTTTTTGGAGAACTTTCAACTCCGATTCCAACTGAGTTTCTCTATCTTTAAACGACTCCAACTTGGTTTCGAGGTCTTTTTTCTCTGCTATGAGAAGATTGATCTGTTCTTTCAAATTTGTTTCAGTACTGATCGATTCAGATTTAACCTTCTCCATTTCATTTAAAGAATTTATTAATGATGCTTCATGTGTACTTTTTAGAGCTGCTAAATTATTTGCATGCTCTTGCTTCAATTTCTCAATTTCTTCTTTTGAGGCAGCCTCCAATTTGCTCTTCTTTTCAGAGAGGAGTTCTAACTGCTGTCGCAGGTCTTCTTCAATTCTTTCAACAGCTCTCGTTTTTTCATTCAACGCTTCTCTAAGCCCTTCAACTTCTTGACCTTTTTCTCTGAGCTCTGAATGAAGCCTGGTCAGCTGCTCAGATGAACTGCTGGAATTATTCATGAGTTCCGAAATGTTGTCTTCCTAAAAGCAGAAATAAAGGAGGTGACAAATAAATCAATGATTAAATAAGACATTGGTAAAATATCTAGCTTTCCAAGCATCTGTTGCAATTTAGAAAGTACAATACGGCAAAATTTCAAAGAAAGGGGACTGTCCATTAAAAAAGCCAGGCACATTTTTAGATTTGTTGACCCCCTTTCTCTGTCAGGTCCCTTCGTCCCTCCCTGGCTCCCATCCTTCTCTGAAGGGGTTTATCAGACAGTCCTAAATTTCCCTCTCCTTCCCTCTTCAGAACCTGAGTTTAGCTTTGATAGTAATATTATTCGTAAATATTTGTAATATTATCGTATCATTGCGTAAATAGTAATATTATGATGGTAATTATTATTATGATTCTATTTACAATTAGCCTTATTACACTGGAGGGTATGGATTCGATCGACATGAATTGTTCAAAAAATGAAAAAGTGAATGGATCGACAAACCCGTGAGTCGATCGACAAACCCGTGAGTCGATCGACAAACCCGTGAGTCAATCGACAAACCCGTGAGTCAATCAAATTTTGTCGATCGAATCGGTGTCGATCAATTCACATTTTCAGTTTTCGATCCATTCATGTCGATCGAATCGACACGGGTGTTTTTAAATTAACTGCCGAGCGAATCGGTGTCGATCGATTCATGTCGATTGAATCACGTTTTAATTTTTCGATCGATTCATGTCGATCGAATCGACACCGGCCTTTTAATAATTTGTCGATCGAATCGGTGTCGATCAATTCATGTTGATCGATTCGCGTTTTCATTTTTCGATCGATTCATGTCGATCGAATCGACACCAGTTTTTTAACAATTTTTTGATCGAATCGGTGTCGATTGATTCACGTTTTCATTTTTCGATTGATTCATGTCGATCGAATCCATACCCTCCTATTACACTTACTACTCTCATCTGCTTCACTACTGAGTCGTTATGTGTTTTGTCTCTGCTTGTAGTAGACAGCGATTGTGGTTTAGAAGTGATACAAATACTGATCTATTTCTCTAATGATTTGTTTCCTATCGTAACTTTGTTCTTGTCTCCTCATTCAGAATCTTCATTTTAAATTCAGTGAAACGCACAAAGTGGCCACTCAGATACTCTAAGTTTATCTCAAGAGGATACAACAAATCGATTTAAAAAGTAATATTTTAGCAAACGGATTTGTATAATGCACTTAAAAATCAGTCATCACACATATTAAGGCTACAAAAGAGGTTACTTACCAATTTTTGTTTCTGCTGGATGAGGCTTTCACACTTTTCTTCCAAATCTTGTATTTTCCTTCCCATGTCACTTTTTTCATTATTTAAATTTCGAATAATTTCTGTTTGTTCTTCAATCGATCTTTCTGCATTTGCCATCGAATCGTTCAACTCTGGAAATGAATATTGGGTAAAAATAAAAAATAAGTTAAACAGCAGGATCAGTTTCGTTGGAGCTAAGCTACTGCACCTAATTAGAAGGAGCTGAGACTATCATTAGTAACAACTACTAGATTAGGCAGTGAAGTTTTAGAAAACAATCAGGTTCTGTTCTGTGTCATATTTTTAGAATACATATTTTAAAGATTAGAGGCTGTACACAAGGTCGTCCCTAGAACTAAAAGTCTTATTTTGTTGTTTGTTTGTTTGATCCTTTTTAATTACTGTTTTATCGCTATTGATTTCCTGAGCTTACAGGTGTAAAATTACTTTAGTTTAAGTTTTAGTTACTTGATTCAAGTTTAAGCGGAGAAGTAAATAAGCCTATGCATGCATTCTAATCTTCACATCATAATTGAAAACGAGCCTCATCAGTCGGTTCGGGCAAGCGCGCCAGGAATTGCTCGCCCAGGTCGGAATGTTCCTGAGCCTCCTAGAATATTCTATGGCACAACAATTGATTATTCGAGAAAATTCGAGAATCGATTGCACTCTTCAATTCTTCATGAGTTCCAAAGCAATCACAGCATTTAATCGAGAGGAGGTGCATAGCGCTGCGCTCTCAACCAGTCGAGAATCGACACTGGTTGAACTCACTCAGCAACGCGATGCGGAGAGCAGCCAAGGAGTGGGAAACGCGTGCGGCACGGTGCATGGTGAGAGGAGGGCAGGCGGGTAGGGAGGAGACTGTCAGCGGGGAGAGGTCAGTGGGTCTGCGTGGCGCGTTACATGGGAGGAGGAATTCCTGGCACGAATTTCCAGCGGTTTTTGGGCGCCCTTGGAGCTGTAATATAATAATGCACGAATCAGTTCATTCAATTTTATCTGTAGAAATAGGTAAAATATGATGAAGTCATGAACTAGAATCTTTTAACTTACGTTTGATGGTTTCTGATGATTTGCTAATTTCAATGTCTTTCAGTTTCAATTCCTCACTAATGCGAGCAAGTTCCTCTGTTTTCTTATCAATTTCAACTTGTTGTTCTCTGAATTCTTGTAGGTGTTGATCGAGACTTTTGGTTACATCACTGTGTTTTCCCTCGACTTCAATCAGCTTTCCCTCCATTTTATTTAATTCATTTTCCAATGTTTTTACGAGATTCACCTTCTCCTTTAACTCTACAGCTAACTTCTCACATTCCGAGGATTTTGAAGCTAAATTATTTTGAACCGTCTCAAATTCATCTAATTTTTTACTTAATTTTTCCTCGATGTTTGAGAACTCAGCTTGGACTAATTTTAATTTTTCTTCAAGTTCCTTAAAATCTTCCGCTTTTTTCAGCAACTTGGCTTCAAGTTGCTCCCGTTTCTTGTTGCTACTTGCCAATTCATCCTGAAGTTTTTTCAAAGTTTCAGCGAGCTCTGTGTTTTTTTCGGCAGAACCTGAGCTCTCGGCAAGTCTTAACTGAAGCTCATTCTCTAATGATTTTCGTTTTTTCGATTCTTCTGATAATTTATCTTCCAGATTTTTAAATTCTGACAGCTTTGTTTCCATGGCTGTTTTCAGTTCCGTTACTTCTACTTCTCGCGAAGATAGTTTTTCATTTAATTTGTTACATTCTTCAACTTTATCTCCTAATTGCTTCTCAAAAGCTAGACGCGAATCTTCTTCCGCTTTGCTTGAATTGGACAATTTTTCTTCCATATCTTTTTTTAATTGTTCAAGTTCTTTAGATTTTTGATCTAAAGATGTTTGCAAATCATTCAGCTGTGACTGTAATTTAATCTCAAGATTTTTAGCATTATCTTCCACTAATTTTTGCTGAGATTTAAGTTGTTCTATCGTGCTTGTTTTTTCGTTAACCTCATTTAATAGGTCCTTTACTTTTTTCTCATAGCTATTGGATTTTGATTCTAAATTCATCGTTGATTCATTGACAAGTGAAGTTATTTTCTTCTCTAATTCAAGATTAGAGTCTCTTAATTTTTTTTCTTCTTCTAATTTGTTCTTATTTAATTCATCTATTATCGCACTTAGTTCATCAGCCTTTTCTTTCTCTCTTTTTTTGTCTATTTCTAACAACTGAATCTGCTCTTTGAATTTCAAAATTTGAATATTAAATTCACTTTGCAAACTTTCCTCGTGGGATTTTGATAACTTTTCCATAGACTCGACCTCCTCTTTTAATTTAGTGTTTTCAAGCTCCATGATTTTCATTTTGTCTGAAGCTTCATCGCATTCTATTCTTAACTTGGAGATCTCGTTATTCAAATCTTCAACCGTTTTACTCAAGCTGGCGGCTGATTCTTCCCTGAGTTTCTCTACTTCGTTTTGTAGGTCTTTGACAAATTTTTCGCTATTGTCTAGTTTAGTTTGAGTTTCATTTAACTGTTTTCGTAGTGTTTCTTCATTGGTTTTGGATGATTTGCGGATGGCCTCCAGCTCTTCCCGCACTTTTAACAACGCTTCTTCAGTTTCAAATAATTTATTGGATTCAGCATCTGTCTGTCCAAGTTTGCTATTCCCTTCTTTCACTAAAGTTTCTAATTCAGCTACCCTTTTTGACCGCTGTTCAATTTGAGTCTGTGGAAGAGAAAAACAAACGATTACACATGTGATAAACAAATGTGTTGTACAATAGGCAAAATAAAGTTCATTTCAGTTTTAGGCATTGCAGCCTAGTAATTGAACCTATACAGATGAAAGTAATAATGTTCAATTTTTGGACACAAGAAAATGGTCAACATAATGACAGAGTGCAGTCAGAGTCAGAGAAGTCATTCAGCAAAATCGATTGACCTGCATTTTCATGGGAGCTTTCAGAAGCATGCCTCCCTTAAAACTCAAATTCCAAAGAAAAATAGCTGGACATTTAATTTTTACTCCCTAAAATTCTAAAATAAATGCTACACTAATGATATTATTTACATTTTTTTGAGGGGCTTAAAACCAGTGGAGTTAATATACCTTTCAGCTAAGAAAATTGAAAAATAATGCTCATTCTGATGGTGACTTTGATAAAAAAATGCAATGTATTTCTTCAGGCATGGGTAGCATAAAAAGAACTGACTGTATCATTTCCACAACAATGCAAAAACTAGTAAAAAGGGTATGATAGAGCCTAAGTGACGAAAGTATGAACTTCCATCCATTGTTGAGTAGGTAGAATCAGTGAAAAAAAAAGTAAAACTATCTACTGAAACTTAAAATTAAGTATATTGTTGCATATTGCACTTGTAAAATTTTATCGGCACTACACACAATTATATAGACTTAAAACTTTTTTTTTGGCAAAACCGATTACTTACTTATTTACTATTCACGATGGCCATTTCGGGTGGTCAGGCCGCCCATCTTCAGGTGACTGCCTCATTGTTGGAAAGTTCGAAAATCCGGCGTGACAGGTGAAAAAATAGACCCACTTAAAAAAAGCGGAGTGTATAAGATTATTTGTGAATGTGGAAAAATTTACATAGGTCAAACAGGACGCACAGTACAAAAAAGATTTCAAGAACAAAAAAATAATGCAAACAATAATAGAAAAAATCATTCCTCAATATCAGACCACCTGAGAGACTCTAATTGCAACCCAGATAAGTGCAAGGTAAACCTAATTAAAGAGTGTAATAAAGGCAAAAAATTAAATGTACTCGAACAATTAGAAATAGACCGTCATAAAAATAAAGAGCTCCTTAACACTCAATTAGAGAGCTATGTGACGACATTGACAACACCGCCAATCTTACTCAGTTCATACAAGAAGAATGTAGGGAAAACATCTGATAAGAAATTAGCTGATCGAGAGGACGAGAGCCGCGATAATAACTGCGCCGGCGCGGCTATCAAGCCGGATTTTCGAACTTTCCAACAATGAGGCAGTCACCTGAAGATAGGCGGCCTGACCACCCGAAATGGCCATCGTGAATAGTAAATAAGTAAGTAATCGGTTTTGCCAAAAAAAGTTTTAAGTCTATATAATTGTTCATAGCAGAAACGCCGTACCTCCATTCCAAATTTTATAAAAAAAAAAAAAAAAAAAAAAAAAAGTTTTAAGTCTATATAATTTTTTAAAATTAAGTACCTGGAGTTCACTTTTTTCGATGGACTCTTCTTCGACTCTGAACTGGAGATCCTCACTTTTGCGTTTTTCATCGTCTAGTTGCTCTATCAATTCTCGTTTTTCTTTTTCTAATTTAGCTATACTTTCTTCAAACTTCTTCCGATTCACATCGACCTCCTTACGAAACTGAAACAGGACAACGTAAATGAATAAAAATACACAGAAAAATACTAAGCCTATTGCAATAGTGGCACTGACTATTTTGGGACTTTAAACAAGTGTAAAAAAATGGTTAAAATATTCGAGTTAGGGAGCCTTTTGTTGCTATTCTTTAAGTAAATAAGTGAAATTCAAGTTTAAAAAGTTTGTTGAACAAAGTTGACTTCAAAATCTTTTTAATTCTCAAAATCACTCATTTCAGAGATAGAAACAAACAGAAAAACAGCAAAATATGCAACATAAAAAACCAAAACTTTATGTGAAACGTACATAAAAGAAACAGAAAGAACTGCGTGATAAAAATTGAACACATTCATCCTTTGAAAGGCATAATTCACAATTTTACATCAAATTATGAAAAACCTGGGTAATGTTTCCAGAATCTAGATGGAGCTAGCTTGTCTAGGAGCTACCACTTGTTGGTAACTGCAAAAATCATGGAAATCAACTCAGAAGAACGGTTGAATGAATGACACAAAAAAACTTTAAGGGGTCAGAGCGCTAAGAGTAAATGTAACTTCTAACTCAATCTTCGATTCTTTGGCACTTAGTCCATTATTGATGGTAAGTCTTCTTTTATGAATAAATCACTTAGATTCACCTCAATAACTTCAAATATGAGTTTACACCTTTCATCTTTAGATACAATAAAATTTTGACGTAGGTAGTTTGATTTAAAAAAGCTTAACTAAGTTTTTTGAAAAATGAGGATTGGTCTCTTCCCAAGTTACTTGATCCAAATGATGTAATAAAGAATACTTACTTGATCAAATTCAATCTGTAGAGTATTTAGTTTGAGTTCTGTGTCTCCAACTTGGGTTGCTGCTTTCGTAAATTGAGATCGTGCCAACTCTTGCTCCTTCAATAACTGCTCGATATACGCATTTTTTTCTTTCAAAACATCCTGAATAAAAAAAAAAAGGAGTGAACATTGGCAAAATTTGCTGGAGCTCCAGGTACCTACATTTTGCGGAGAATTAACACTTGACGTTACAAATATCCTATGAGAAAATTCTCCTATTATTCCATTTGAGCAACATGTCCAAGGAAATATTATTGAGCATTAAGGAAAAATTTTAAAAATCCAACTTCCACTATTATAGATTTCTGAACATCAGCATATGCTGAAACTCAGCAAGTAAAGCTGGTGAGACGAAAAATCAATAGTTTTAATGCCATCGTTGACTTGAAATGATGAAGATGCATCTTCTATTCATTTTTGTTCAAAAAATTAAATTGTCATAATTACTGGAGATATGTGCCTATTATGTTATGTGGCGTGTGTCATAGTATTATTCCCCCTCTGTATGATGATTTCTATCATTCACATTTCGACAGTGAAACTCCCAAACCACGTATCTTGTTTTTGGTGTTTTGAAATCTATTTCTCAAATCCTTTTTAATGTCTTTAAAAGGAGAACAGATCAACATCATTACTTGTAGTTTTTTCAGAATTTCCTTCACAAAAAGAAAGAAAATCACGCAAGTTTTCAAGAATTGACGTTGAGTCCCTATTTTTTCATTAAATAAAAATAATATGGCCGGAAGTCTGCAATGTCGCAAGCCGAGATACACGGCTTGATTTCACCATCAATTTATTCTTTGTATTTAATTCTATTCATTTATCGTTAATATCCATCCTCAAGTATGATACATGTGATTTTTGTTCACATTTCAAACCTATCATAATATTATTCAGTCTATTAGGTATCAGGATATCTCAATATCAAAATTATCAGCCAATTTGATTATGTTAAAAGATTAAAATGTGTTGCAAAAAAAGACAGGATGGGTTCTGTAATAAATAATAAATGTTAGATTAGGTAGAAAAGTACAAATGACCATGAAAAATAAAATAAGAAAGGTAAAACAACTTGATGATATATGAAATTGAAACTTGTGGGGTTGAGACTGAAGTAGGTATCTCTGGTGAGTAGTCAGGTATACATTCTTGAGCTGTTTGTAAAAATTTAAGTTTGAAGTCGATTCTACAATCTCTTCTCCTCTCATTATTTTATAATTAATACCAACACCACATTTCATGCAAGCGATTTAAAACAAGCCAAAATTAAGAAGAGATACTTGCAGATATAAAATCACAGAGATAAAGAAAAACAGATTCTCTTTTGGTTGCACAAAATAACCTTTAGAAAATGGCAACTGGCAACTTAGAAACATGCTCTTAAGTGGCAGTAACCACCCCTTGTAAGATGCCTACATCTCGTCAACTATATTAGCAATGGAAACGTTGAGATGGCTTCTATACACGTAAAATGAGAATCTGAGCTCATATCGCATGGATTAGTCCCATGTTTTCAGCTACTTGTCATTTTCTTACAATTTTGAGATCGCACTTGATACTGATAATGAAACAGCACTTAAATGCAATATTTGGATTCTGACACTAAATATGGCGTTCATCAAATCACCTTAACATTGCTGCCCTGACAACTATAATCGTTTCACTAAAAAATAAATTCTTTGAGTAGTGGACGTATTGATGACTAATGGAAAACTGTGCATAAATTTTGTTTCTCTACCAGTAGATTATCCTTCTCATCATTGAAAATAGTATTCTCCTTGAAGGTCAAATATATATTGGGCATTTAAATGGTTGCAAGAGAGACGGCTATAACGTCACCCTCTTCTGGCGATTTAAATCACGGCAATTTTCTGCAATACCATAGGAGTCAATTTTTTTAGGGCCCGACTATCCATTCTTTACAGAATTTTGGCCCTCTTTACTGTAAAATGGATTACATTTTGCAATAAGGAACCACTATTTCTGGCCCATTTGAAAAACAACTTACATGCCATTGGTTTCCCTGTGCAGATATGTAGTTTTGTGGGAGAGCCAGAGATAGTGGTTCCTTATTGCAAAATGTAATCTAAATGTAAACTTTGGTAAAAATAGCTAAAGCCAATCTAAATCAGCATCTGTAATCACCGCAGCCAAGCTAGAGTCTGCTGCATATCACTTTAAGTTGCCCAGCTTGAGAGTTTACTATACTCTCCTTCCGATACTTTTTAACACCAAGCCTTTAGGGCCTTCCTATGGTATTTTGGATCACTTCCCATCACCAATTGAATTGAGATAAGCAAAGAGGGTGGATGTTCAAAAACTTCTGAGCACTGGCATTTGTTGTTAATAACCTCTTTCATGGCTCATGAGTATTTACACTTGCGCCTTTTCCTTGTACCAAAAATTAAAATTTACCGACTGAAAGTTTTGACATGTGAAAGAGACAAATAGGCGAATACCCATGAGTCATGCTAGACATAATCAGAAACATATGCTGGAGCTCATGAGTTTTTGGACTTCTCCCTTTTTACACGTCTCAATTCAATTTACATCTAAGCTTGCTCTTTCACATTCGTGAATGAATTGCCTCCACTTCCTAAAGCCTCAAAAGAGAGAGCAACGTGATTGGCACAAAATTTTCTCAATTTTATTCCGAGTATAATAATATTGATGGCTAAACTCAAAAACCATAAATCATAACTGCGATTTTAAGAATTTCCACTCCTGGTTTATTTTTTCAAAGGGGAAACAAGTAAACGCACTTGCTTGAAATTTTCACAAAATATCCCTCAAATAAAGATAAAAAAACTACGGGAGCTCGTGAAACAACTGTTGATAAGTTTCCTGACAAGAAACTAAAATACGACAAGAAGTATGATTTGTCGCAAACTGAGCCAGGTACTTCATTTTCAAGTTTTGCCATCAATTTGATATTCATTTGTCCTCACAGCTTAGCTTTTATATTTTTCTTTTGCGTCCTAAGAAATTCATTTTGCCCTTTTGATGGAAAATGCCAGTAAAACACAGTGAAAATGTCCAGATGGAAGGGGAGTGTCCTGTTCATGAAGGGTCTCACCAAATATGAGACCAGCAGCAGAAGCAAAAACTTCATTTCGATAGGATTTTCATCATTGCTTGCCGCTACAGTCGGTTTGTATTTTATTGAAACAAGCGAGTTCTAACTAAAATGGTGATGTTGGAACTAGCGAGTTCTTATTAAGGTTTATTTTTGGCACCAGTTGGGTTTTGATATGGTAGATCCAACGAACTACGATAGATGAAAATAAGAAAAAAACACGATTTATGGGTGATTATGGAAGATGGTTGGAGGATAAAGACTAAAAGTTGAAAAGTGAACTGGATCCAGCCATCCTAAGTGAGACAATTGAGAATTTAAAAGAAAATCGAAAATATGAGGGAAATATATGAGGAGGTGGTGACATATTTAGTCCATGATATCAGGGCACAGCTTCACTACAAAACTTATTGTTGCATTGCTTGACCATGAGTTTTAATCTTTTGTTGGTGTAAATAATGCTTCTGTAATTTTTATTTATTGTTCAAAATTTTTTATTTTTCCCTAAACCTTTTATCAGGCTGTTCCTAATGCTTCTATAATCTCAAATTCTGATCATTTTCCAGTACGATTTGATAGAATTTGAAACATCTATTCATTAAATATAGTATGATCCAGATCCACCCATAGACTTTTATACACTTTACCCTAGTCTCCCTGAGCCTCTGAACCAACGAGAAAGCCTGAGCGGGGTCAATTTGACCCCAGCTGAAAATCAATTAGTTAGCTATGTTTTTTTCATGTTCTTAGTTAATATCAGTGCACTAACCTTACAGGCCTTAACCATAAAGCATATCTAATTTTTAAAAAAACACGGCGCAGGGCACGCAACCATTTTATCATACACATGTTGCCATATTGTTCTCAGCATGAGAAAAAAAAATCATAGGGCTACTAAATACTGAAAACGAAAAAAATCTGAAAAATTTTGCTTTTTTTATAGAAGTTTCTGAAAAAAATTAAAAAGAGAAAAATGAATACACCTTCAAAGTAAGCTTTTGTGATGCTAAATGGTAAAATATATGTTATAAGCATATCTGACCCCGCTCAGGCTTTCTAGCGGTACTCGTGAATTTTCTGATCTCTCATGCAAATTTTTTTTTTTTTTTTTTTTTTTCCCCCTTCAAAATCGTGTTCCTAGATGTTTTTGTAGAGCTATTTGTGAAGGACAAAAAATTTCGTGCATACCACGAGAAATGGCAAAGAGTTGAAACTCCCGTGGGGTCAATCTGACCCCACTCAGGCAGACTAGGGTTAACTGATTTTACAGCAGTATAACTATTCAGTGATACTATAACAATTGTCAAATTAAGAGGATAACAATGCGCATTGATGGCTGAATGCAAAAAATGCATACCTTAATTGAAACGTTTAAAAATCTCCGATTAAATGTTGCTTTTTTTCCAGGGAGAACTGATCAGAACTTTCTCACAATTTAGTGGGATTTTTTTAGAATGATTAAGAAAAATTCACAAAAAATTTCACTAAAACTGCTGGTTAGTATTCCTTTGAAAAAATAAAACATGAGCAGTGACGATTTGCAACATTGCAATCTGAGATACCCAGGCACTTTCTGAATTTAGCCATCAATATGAGTGCCATTTTTGCTTTGACTATAATAACTGCCTACATCTTTGAACAATTATTCTTTGTCCAGTCACTGATATTCTTGAAGAATTCTGTGTATAGTTCTTAGTCATTTTCTTGGAAGAAAAAATTAAAAATGTACCCACTGAGATCTGAGATGAGAAGCATCTATTTTCAGTTCCGTCATTGGTACATACATTCCAGAATGTAGAAATTCTCTGTCATACAGTCTAGAAAAGGTCTAAAACAAGTATGTGGAAGGTTCACATTCCGATTTTAGCCACAAGAGCCAATAACACAGCATGCAAAATATTTCTTGTGACAATGCACGGAGTTGAAATGGGTTGACCTGATGCTTACATTTCGCCTACAAGAACACAGGCAATCTTCCGTCATGCTATTTTAATGAACTAAAGGCAAACTAGCTCAAATTCAAAAC